AGAGTTAGGGGTGGCAATGGATCCGGACCAAACCCAGGACCCTCTGGCTGTACCCGACATGGGTCCAAGTGCGGATCCAATATTTGGACCCGGTGGGTCAGGTCCCGGTCCAAAATCTGGTCCTGAATAGTATTTGGATCTGGGTCCGCGTCCTGTTGGAATTGACCTATACTCGACCCCGTACCTATAAACTGTTGGAGATAAGATACTTCAAGCCCTATTTGTTTAGGTGTATTAAGGATCATATATAATAAAAACTCGTAATCATCTTTAGTTATTAACTGACAAATCATACTACTTGAAATCTAATGGCAGGTAATTATGACCTTGTTGTCAATATTGTGGGTGTATAATGGTAAAAAAATGGTCAAAAAAAAGAAAAAGAAATAGAAGCTCATAGTGAGGGTCGCAATGGTCCCAACCAGACCCACGACCCGACGAGATAGACCCTGGACCCGATGGGTATGGGTATGGGTCCAACTTTTGGACCCGAATACTATTCGGGTCCGGCCGGACCCGACCCATACCAGACCTGTTGCCACCCCCAACCAGAGTGGTGATGATACACATGCTTATTTATTTTCCATGATCATATAATTCATAACATGAACACAAACTTAATGCGTTGAGAAATCTGCTAACACTCTTAAGGAAAAAGGCGGTCTATCTAAGGTGATTACGCTAGGATTTGAACCCTAAAGCTGATTAGTTACTTGATTCAATTTCTGTAATTTACATAGTGAAATCTCATGTATGAGTCACGAAAGCATGCTGAAAATATTCAATTTACATGCCTCCTTTGGTAGCTCATAAATACAGATTTGAGAAGACATTTTTTTCTTTTTGAATAAAAGTTCACTCAGATTTCGAAAGATATTAAAAAATAAAAATGTGAACTCTGCTAAATGCCTCACAATAATTGAACACCATGTATCTCATTCATATATATATATAACAATATTACTTTTACGAAAATCATTTCAAATGACACAAAAAATCTCTTCATTTTTGTAACCATAATACCAACTCTCGTAGAAAATAGACAAAATTGCAAGAAAAAAACAGAGATCTAATAAAAATGACATACAATAAACTAAATATGAGAGAGAGAGAGAGAGAGAGATGTAAAGACAATGACTTAAAAAGACCTTATGATACAAAACATCCAACCTACATTGGTACTAGCTTAACCTCTAATTTATATTGTTTCAGAACTCAAAATAATAGAAGATATTAAATAACTTTCATTGATATCATTCTTTTTTTGAACATTTTCATTAATAACATTCTCATGCATTATATTACCGATGCAATATACACGGCTAAACAAATACAATGCAATCCGTTTACATTTTTAACAATGTTCATCTTGATTAGATTTTCTCTATAAACATGTCTAACGTTTCAATTCATCATTTGCATAAAGGAATGATCATCCACAACTAGACACATTATTTCAGATACATGAAAGTGAAATAATTGTCTTTTACAGAAATGTAATAAATAACAATACAAGATATAATAAAGGTAAATACTACATATTTCATCAAATACATTATACCCTCGTAGTTATTCTCACTAAAATTGCACTCTTTTTGCAATCTAAAAATCGGCCCCAGGCTCTTTGAAGTGAAATGAACATTGCAAGAAACCGCAAACTTACAGTGTGAAGGATGCAAAAAAGCCTTAAAGCTGCTTTCTCTTCGCGGAATGTGTGTCTTATTGGAACACTTAATTTGCATATATATGTCTCATTAAAACATACGTTCATGGTGGAAATCACAATACAAGATGAGCAAAACTCTTTCTGAGGATTAAAATGCTCAACAAACATGTGGAATAGCTTATTGGAATCACACTGACGAATTTAATGACATTGAAATGAAGGTTTTAAAGCTATTGAATTTTACTTTCAAAAATTCAAAAACCAGAAGTTATACTGCATTTTTAGACTATCCATTCCCATGTTAAAGAAAAAGAATGACCCTTATTATTTAGTGATACAATTTTTGTAAAAAACTAATCAGCCGCAGGCAATTTACGAACACAGCACCCAAGGCAATTTTAGCCGTGAAAGCATCAACCAATTGTGAATCGTCCAACCAACCAGAAACCACGTCCAGGGTGGACATTGTTCTTGGACAATAAGCCATCATAAACATTCATTTTTTGCCAATACTATTCATATGTACATGCATGACCGCTTCAAATATATTATTAGAGCTTCCATAAACATGCACATGCATTCTTTTTTGGAAACACTACCACATGTATAATCTCCTTCATGGAAGTAGGGGTGGCATTGGACCCGGGCCCAAGGGGTAGATCCGATCCAGGTCCAGATCCCGATCGGGAAATATTTTTTAGGTTTCAATATATAAAATATATTTAAATATAGTTAAATACATAGATTTTTTAATTTTTGGGTTGGCTCGGGAGCCAGGTCCCACACTTTATTATCGAGCCCAGGTCTGGGTCCCACACTATATGTTCGAGCCCAAGTCCGGGTCCGGTGAATTAGGATCCGGGTCCAGGTCTCATGTCATGGGTCTCGGTCCGGGTCCGGCTGACCTGTTGCCACCCCTAGAAGTCAAAGTTATCAACCTATCAACCCATGGAATCATCTCTTTTGGTGGTTGACTACTTCATTACATGACTGGGATGAATTTCCTTATTTCTTTTTTATTGCAAATCTTAGGATATATGGATTTTAGGTAAAAAGACATTTCTCTTGGTGGATTAATTGATATGATATGTTGATAGATAAAAAAAGGGAAATGTATTTGCCTTTTGACAACAAAAGAGTTCTTCATTCTTCTTCTAAATGGACCATTTGCTATGGGAAAGTATATGCCAAACATTCTCTTTCATATGAAATTTCTCTCTAAAATTTTTGTTTTGAATTTGATTCTTTAATTTTTTTGCCACATTAAACTGTCATATTCCTATAGATTTCCCATAGCATAAAGTTGAGGGGTTTGAAATGGGGCATCTTAAATCATCAAGATCATTTAACATTTCATATAGAGGTCTTCATATCTTCCCATAAATAATGGAGTAACATCTTCTACTAAGCAAGAAGGTGAAGCTTTGTCTCAATCCTTCCATTTGTGTACTCAATTAATTTGAGGTACATTGTATTGCCATTGCACTTAAGAAGAGAGATTCAGTATACCACAACCTATAAATAGAAATGGAAAAGAATAACAACAAACACGAGATCAAATTTTATTCTATTAGAACAAATGTTTTGAGGGTTGAAGGCTTGAAGCTACCAAAAAAATCAAAAAAGAATGGGATTGAAAGATTCAACCCGCTTTTAGAGAGAGAAAACCTCGAGAAATGAAGAACTAACTAATGAAATGAAAAACTAACTAATACTAAGCAGTTTATTATGAAATAAGTGGTTTTGATCCGAAAATTTCCGATATGGGTCATGTAGATCAATACAAAAAGATCAACATACAAGAAGCGTGAGATAAAATGAATGAAAGAACGAGGGAGAAGATGGAAAATGGTGAATCGGGTTTAGAAACAGTGCAAAGAAAACCCAATTTCTGAGTATCTTATTCATGGGGTTTAATTGAAAATATTTTGCTAGAAATTGTAAATCAATGAGAGAACAAAAAAATGACACAAATTTCACAGATAAGACTGAAAACTATATAGAAATCGCAACATAAGTGGATCACGTCTCAAATATAACTGAATAAACAAATCCAAAATTCAATCTTAAAAATCTTGATTTTGAATTTTGATTGGAGATTTTCCTTTAGAGTTATTGTAGATCAATGGAAAAGAAAAAACTGGCATAAATATTACAGATTTTGATGAAAAAAAGAGAGAAATAAAAAATTTGCCTAATTCAATTTGAAAAAAAAAATTAAAAGAAAAACCCGATTCGCCCTATTCCAATGGGGACTTGGCCCGGCCCCCCATTAGTCCCTGAGTGCATGGGCAGTTTAGAGCAAAACTGGCTCTCTTGACATAATGCCCTTGATTGTTTAGAAACCATTACCGGCATTGGATCAACCTTCCACATCATCGATCTAGATCGATGAGTCTCATTTTAAATTAAAAAGTTAAAAATTTAAAAATAGAATCCATAAGGAATCAGCAATCTGGATCCATTAGTCACAATACCGATCCAAAACTGACCTAATTGAAATAGACATTTTTCTAGCTCTAAAGCCAAAACTGGGCCAAAAGGCTATACAGGAGTCAAGATTCAACTATCTACGTCAAGCCAAATTGTTCATAAACATGTTGAAATTCCAGTACCTAAATCCATCCAAAATCACATAAGAAACATCAATGCTAGCACCAGAGTGAACCAAAGCAAACACATGGATTATCAACTGATAAAACAAAGGACAATAAAAAGTTCAGGCTTCTTATTTACCATTTACTCTTTCCTCAAAATTCTCCATACTTATTGGTCTGATATTTTCAAGGAAAATTTTATGACGCACCCTTATTTGTAGTGTACTATCGTTGGGCCCTTGTTCTTAGAATTGTACAACTTTAATGATAGTCAAGAGACTGCACAGATAAATTGAGGCGGTCTAGTTCAAAAAAAAAAAATGCATCCAAACCCCATTAGTTATTTATTTATGCTCAAGCCAACATAAAAACTGAAAAAAGTCGTCCAATGATTATAATGTATGAATTCATCATATAAGAACTTTTTGAAGTGAAATAACCTGATTATCCTACAATATTCATAAAGGGCTCAAAAATATCTGATTTGTTTACTACAAGTTCAAATTTTTAACTTTCATTTCATAAAAGTAATTCCTCAAAATTTGTCAAAAAGTTTTCAAAAGTACCCATATTCAGGAACCTGACATTTTGATAATTTAACCCATTTAAGTTGCTCAAACTAAATTACATAAATACCCGCAGTTGCTCAGAAGTTTAAAAGAAGCCACAACTAAACAACCAAATACTAGGTTTTGCGTGGAGACTCCGTCCACCCATTCATGATGATGGCATTACCATAATTCACAAATCAAGATTTTCATTGCATCTAGAAATTCCACATTCTTAATATACATGCACTGTACAGCCCTGCATAAATATTATCAGGGGCTTGATAACAAACATCACCGCATTTCAGTCACCAACATTGGTCTCGCACTCCCCAAGTTTCCCATCGTGAGGAGTCATTTATTGGCAATGAAGTGGAGAGGAAAAATTCCATAACAACCATCCCCGATCGAATCCCTTGGAGAAATAATATCGCCCCATCAGCATTCAATGTTGTCCTTCATCCGGATAAACCCCACATGTTAAGAAGTACTGGATGATGACACCACCATCTCTTTATCACAACCAAGAACCTGATGAAAGTCGGGGCCAAAACTCAGCTTCACTCTTCCTGATGATCAATCCCACCATTTTATATCCGAGTGAAAGCATTACATTTATATCCAAGCGAAAGCAGTAGCCATTATGCCCACCTATCTTAAGCGTGCATAGATCACAAGCAGGAGCTTCCTTTGTCTTCTCGTAGAGGTTGGAGAGTTCCTTGAGGCCAACCAGACTATGAGCAATTAGACATATGGACCCTGATGAAGTCCGCCAAATCTTCAATGCCCAAAAACTGTTCTTCCTCAAAATAGAACATGGTTGCTCACCTCACATAAAGTCAACGCCAGGAAACTGTACCAAACCGAAGAACAACTCTGTTGGCATCGGTTTTGGAACCTGAGAGCTGGTGGCTGAATGCCTGGCTAACCAAATGGTCAGAAGGAAGCACAATGAAGCACTCTACTATGGTTATGAGACATTCCCATTTTCTTGGGCTTGTTTATCCTTCTCATCTATTCGGAGCTCCTCGTATGCCTTCACAGAGACCGAAGTGAAGGTCACCATTGCCTCAAAAATTTGTTTCAGACCCAACTGTGCACTGCTCAGAGAGGCAGAAGGCTGCACAAGCAGCCCTTGTTTGGTTTGGCCCATGTCAAAAGTTGCCCCAGAAACCAGAGTTAGCTTTTTGTTCAAGGTATCACGAGCCTTGAGTATTTTCTTCTCCTCCTTTTGGTAATCCAAAGGTCCTTTTCCACTACCTTTTGTAACATCCCCAGCCCTCAAAACTTGTTGCTGCTCTGCTCCTTGCCTTTCCCGTAGCTCCTGGACACTTTGGGTAAAGGCCCGTATCGCATCAACAACCTCCTTCTCTGATATTCTTCTAATTGCCTGACACCAGTCATGGCAGACAATAAATACACGCGGGGCACCAAGCCTGCCAGGAGAGAAGGGAATGGGTCCATCAGGCGTCTCTTCGGGTTCATATAGGAGGCACTTGATAAGCCAGCTATTCAATGCCCCCACAAAATCTTTTTGGGTTATTATCCAAGTGTTAAAACTGGAACACCAGTTCAGAAGCTCTAGTTCAAGCTGCATTGCAGCTTCGATGTTAGAATTACTCAGCTTCCTGCCAATAAGGTCAAGAGTTTTAGCCTGTCCTATCACCATACACTGGTTCTGATGGCATTCCAGCATGACTTTCCACATTCTAATCAACCTGAACATAATAGAAGCAATTAAGAAGTGGATTTCACAAAAACAAAATAGAAGCTCTGGAATGTGTGCATGAATGCATCCATGACATCTGCCATGTGTGCATGTGTGTGTGAACATACACACATGAGAGATAAAGAACAGCAGCATAATATTGAATGTTACAAGACCTGCAAACTACTAAATCATCAAGTATTTAGAGCACTACACCTAATATTGATATTCTATAATGATGATGACACTCAAAAGACAGGCAAAGGATGTAAGAGGTATGTCTCAAGTGCATAGAAGAAATACATTATATTCGACAGTGGGCAGGACACATACACAGACACTAACACCAACACCAACACCAACACCAACACCAACACCTTTTCTTCACATAGTGATGCAAAAGCAGGTACAAAGAGTCACGAAAAGATCCAGTAGATTCCAGATACTACAGAAAGTAAGCCAATTATACTCATTAAGGAACAGAAAAATGCAACCATGGAGCTCCAGATCATTAATGTTACTGGGCTTTAAGGATGGCTCTTTCATTCTCTTTTTGAATGAAGTTCGATACATGACAAGCATGGCACATGGATATTATGCTATCTAATTCATAGCTCATTGTATCAAATAAAAGATCAATGATGCTTAAGAAAATTAACAAAAATTGGATTCCTCTAGTTCCTCTCTAATTGGAATGCACACAAACATATCAACTTTCAAAAGGTTCAGCCAACTACGATGATAAAAACCCACTATCGAACATAAATAAATAAAATGAAAACAATAAGCAAACCTAACTCTAATAAGAAGTAACTTAAACAAGTGAAAGTTAAAGATTCCCAACAGGATTGGCTTTTTCTGCTAGAACACCCAACCAGGAGCTGGAAGGCCTGTGCAGCATCGCCAGCACCCACCCGAGGCACGAAGTTCCTAGGCCACTACATTCTTAAACACATGTGATGTTCAGCAAAGCTTTCTATGAGCAACGATATTCATTAGTGACCGTTATTGTCCCCACACCCCTTAAAGAAACCAAGCACTCATGCCCATTATGGAAACTTGCATGTTAAGATAATCTGTATAACATTTTACTATATCTAGGTGATTTTCCTGCTGTAAAACTTATCATATTTGAGTGATTCTCCTGCTTTAACAGTTACCATATTTGGGGGATTTTATATTGTAACACTTGGGCATCATGGTTGTGATTCCTATGCATATTGACTTACCTATACTGTAACTCCCATAGGGATCTATGTGTACATATAGGCATATTGCCCCACGATTTGTATAGAGTAGAAAAAATAAAAGATATATTGACTTTATCGTCGTGTGCTCATGGTCTCTGAGAAGGCTTAGAAACCTAGGATATTCATTACTTTCAGAGACCCTAGAATCATGATTTTTCTTTCTTGTTGGGATTGACGCTGTGGGGTATCAGCAACCTCAAATTTCCAGTAAGATCATCTCCTTTTCCTTTACCAATAAGTTTTTATGGCAAGCTCTTTTCATTTCCAGCAACCTCACATTTCCAGCAAGATCTCGCTTCTCTTTCACCAATACGTTTAGGTTTTATGGCAAGCTCTTTTCATTTCCAGCTACCTCACATTTCCAGCATGATCATCTCACTTCTTTTACCAAAAAGTTCTATCCTAAACTTTTTCCATTTCCAACAAAAAACCATAGACCATTTTATACCCCACGGAGATCAAAGGGTCTTGGTGAAGGACGACGAAGTCAACGAAATGTGGAAAGTTTATTTTAAATTATTAAATGACGAACACAATGGGGACATAGCGATAGAAGGAACTGTTGGTATAAAGAGGGCAGAGGTCATAGATACATTCGTGGAATTAGGATGTCAAAAGTGAAAGAAGCTTTGAAAAGGATGAAGATAGAAAAGGCTTTACAACAATATGGTATCCTGATAGAAGTTTGGAAGTGCATGGGGGAGATAGGAATTGACTGGCTGACGAAGTTGTTCAACAAGCTGCTGAGAACAAAGAAAATGGCAAACGAATGGAGGAAAAATATTATAATACCTATTTACAATAACAAATGAGACATACAGAATTGTTCGAATTAAGCATGAAAAGAGTGTATCTGAAGACCAATTTGGTTTTATGCCAAGAAGGTCAACAGCCAAGGCTATTTTCCTACTTAAGCAACCGATTGAGAAGTTTAGGGCGAAAGGAAAATACCGACCTAGATAAAGCTTATGATAGAGTACCACAAGATTTGATTTGAAGGGTGTTGAAAAAAAAAGCAGACTCCAAACACTACATCGACTTGGTGAGAGATATGTACAATGGAGCGTTAACTAGTGTACAAACAATTAGTGGAGAAACAAGTGAGTTTTCAGCGACAATAAGTCTACATCAAGGGTCATCATTAAACCCGTACCTCTTTGTCTTAGTTATAGACGACTTAACTAGGCACCTGCAGGATGAGGTACTGTGGCGCATGTTGAACGAATGAGACCCAAAAATGTGTCAACATAAAGTTAGAACTTTGGAGGGATGCTCTAAAATCCAAAGGTTTTAAAGTTAGTTGGACTAAGGCAATGTATATGAAAGGCAAATTTAATAATAATAGAAGTAAAGACGAGGAAGTAGTTAAGATTGACGGCCAGGAAATACAAAAAAGACCGCACTTTCGATAATCGATAATCTAGGAAAATGAAGAGATTGATAAAGATGTTGCACATAGAATTAGAATTCGGTGGGCGAAGTGGAGATGCGCAACTGGAATTTTATGTGATCGCCACATGCCAATGAAGCTGAAGGGTAAGTTTTATACGACAACTGTGAGACCAGCTTTGCTTTATAGAATGTTGGGCGGACCAAAAACAATATACCCAAAAAATGAGTGTAGCGGAGATGAGGATGTTGAGATGGATGAGTTGCAAGACAAGGGATAGCATCCGAAATAAATCCATTCGGGAAAGTTTAGATGTGGCACCAATAAGCGATAAGATTAGAGAGAGTAGACTTAGTTGGATTGGTCATGTGTGGCATCGACCAAGTACAACACTTGTTAAGAGGTGCAAGTTAGTTCAAGTGGAAGGATTGAAAAGGGCAAAGGGTAGGCCCAAAAGGAGGTCATTGGAAGTGGTCCGAAAAGATATAGAGACTTATGGCCTCACTGAGGGTACGGCCTTAAATAAAGCAGAATGACGGATCAGGATTCGTGTAGCCGACCCCAACTAATTGGCAAAAGGATATGATGATGATGATGATGATGATGATGAGAGATCACATAAATTTATTCCATACCTTTTTAGTCCAAATAAACCAGAAAAAGAGGATCTTTGCAAACTTTGAACTAAGGAATTAGCAACTTGGGAAAAAAAATACTTTGGGTTTCGAATTCCTTAGTTCTTGAAAGCAAATCTAAATATACATAAAATAAAACCAACCATGCTCAAAGTTTGCAAAGATTTATCTAAAGTCAGGATAATTAAGAAATAAGAAGAATGACAAGTGCCCATAGTCACAAGTAAAAACACCTTAGCCTTGGACATCAGACATCCCCTAGCTCTTTCTTTATATTTGATGCGTGAATCAACATAATATATCAGAAAGTTGAAAATTACGTAAATTTGACATGGCTTGAGAAGAAAATAGTTCTTCGTCGTCTCTTCTTTTCCTTTTCCTTTTGTTCATGAAGGAAACAACTAATCGTACAGAAAGATACAAAAGAATTAAGCTAGTCTTCCCAAAGTTGTAGCATGTTATCTAATGCAATAATGGCATAGAGAAGCATGCAGATGCCACATTGGCGAATTACTAAGAAACAAAAACTCCAATACAAAACTGTCCAAGTAGGATGAAGTAAAACTATCAATATTTTCAAATTTTAAAAATAACTACACAAAAGCATCACCAAGGTCATGGCAGACACAACTTAGTCTCCAAAAAGGGAAAAATAGCTTAAGAAACACCAGAATGAAAGGAGAAACAAAAAGACTTTGTGTGGACAAATTGCATAACAGCATACATACCCTTTAATCAGTTCTGTAATCTGGGGCTGCAACTCTTCATCCCTTATTTTATTTATTTTTTTTGATATAGAGTCAACCACCTGCATCGCTATCCTTATTTTCGCGGACAAACTTCTGACTAAAGTACGTGTAGCATGAACTTCATGTGATTCTGCACCCCTTTCATCAAGTTTTTTCAGCCGCTGGCGCTTCCTTTCATGGATTATACTCATCTTTTCCTCGGACTGCAAACTCACATCCCAAATTAGTATTAGATATGAAAATGATGGTCAAATGAAGCATAGCAAGAACTTCAATAAAGTGCCACTAGATTTTTATTGATCAAAAAATCCAAAGAGCAATAGATCAAAAACCAAAAGAAAAATAGATATCAAAGCACCTTTTTTCGATATTAGTGAATAGGACATTATAGCTTACGATATGATGTTAGGGAATCTAAAGCATATGTGCAGCACTTGAAGGACTAAGATTTTATTTTGAATAGAAATCAACCAGTGTACTTGTAGAGCCTATGATGTTCTGGCCTATGTCATGCGTAAAAAATGTTAAACTTTAAGGAATCGCCAATGTTCAAAAAAGCGGACTGCCCAACGCCTAGGCGGCCGTCTAAGGGGTCCAGAAGGCCTAGGCGCATCGCCTAGACCTAGGCGGCCACCTAGGCAGTACGGAACCTGCTTAGGCGGGCGCCCGATGAGCGCCCAGGGCTTGCGCCCGCCTAGGGGCGAAAATTAGTTTCTTTTTTGTTCTATTGATTTTTTTTGAAACATAAAAGCTTTTAAGGATGGGTTTTAGGTTCATTTGAAACCTAAACCCACAATAACCCATTTTAGGGAGAAAGAAACCTCAAAAAAACTAAATTTTGTGATTTTGATTAGATCGAAGTGTTTCTCAAAGTTACGGAATGGACCCAAACATCACCCAGATAGATTAGATTTAGTTTTGGAGTTTTATAATCTTATTAGAGGGTGTTTTTTATTATTTTAGTACCAGAAAACATCTCAGAGGTGGGAAATAAGTGCAATCAAAATAACTGCAAAACTTTATTTTTTAGAACGCTTGTTTTATTTTGAGATATCTACTTCAGGATCTAGTTGAAGTGGAGATCCGGGTTGGAAATATGAATATAACCCGAATCCAAATGACAAAATTGCATTCAATGCAATTATTGTGAAAAAAATACAAAAGGAGGCATAAACCGGTTTAAGAAACATCTTGTTGGTATTAATGGAGATGTTGCCCCTTGTAAACATGTTCCTGAAGCTATCAAAAAGGAGATTAAACAATATATGAGTTCCGTAAAACAAAAACTGGAACAAAATCCTTGCCATTTGAATAGATCTATTTCTGGTTCTTCTAAAAGAAGTGATCCGGGTTGGAAGTATAGTTATAACCCAAAACCAAATGATAAAAATTGTATAAGGTGTAATTTTTGTGAAAAAGATATCAATGGAAGGTATTAACCGAAACACCATGCTGATATTAAAGGGAATGTTGCTTCTTGTAAAAAGGTTCTTAACGCTATTCGAGATGAGATTAGACAATTTCTGAATTTAAAAGAACCAGAAAATAATGAAAATGAGCCTTGTTCTATGGAAATATCTTCTTCAGGTTCTTCTAGAAGTGGTTATCCGGGTTGGAAGTATGATTATAACCCGAATCCGAATGACAAAAATCATATTAAATGTAATTATTGTGGAAAGGATACAAATGGGGGCATTTACCGGTTTAAAAAACACCTTGCCAGTATTAAGGGGGATGTTGTAAAAATGTTCCTGAGGCTACCAAGGAGGAAATTATACAATATTTGAGTTCAGGGAAGCACAAAATTGCTCATAAGGCCTCATTTGTACATACTAGTAAGAAGGAGCTAGAAGAAGAGGAGGAAGATGTAGATTCAGATTAAACAGATGAGGACGAGCGTCACATTGAAAAGGGAGATGGCTCTGATGATGATGGCCTCGAATTTGATGCATATGATGAGGCTTACCCTATTTCTTCTGACAATGATGATGACTGAAGACTCTTGGTGTTGAGTGTTGACTATTGAGTGCTGCCTATTGTGTCCTAGATTGTATATTTTCTGAATTTCTGTATTATTTTTTTTTTTTTTTTAGTTTCTACTTTCTAGTTTCTGGTTCTACTATCTAACTTTTGTGTGTACAGTCTACAATGTATCCTTGTATCATTGTATGGTTTTATTGTTTTTGCATTGTATAAAAATATGGATTATGGTCTTATGGATTATCAAAATTCTCTTCTCGATTTCTATCTTTTTTTTTTCAACGGGGATTATGGTCTTATGGATTATCAAAATTCTTATGGATTAATCATTATCAGACTATCTTCTTTTTTTTTTTGACTAGGCCGCCCAGGTTCTGGGAGGCTGCCTAGGCGCTAGGCGGCTTGGACCCCCATGGTAGCCTGGGTGTCGCCTAGCGCTTTGTGAAACAATAGGAATTGCCAAATCGCGACTGGCTAGAAGATTCCTATTTTCGAAATTGACTTCCATACAAGGGGAATCACGAGAAATGAGATTCCTACTTCATAGGAATCAACTTTCGACCCAAATAGAATCAAAATCCCTACATGTATGGAATTGAGATTCCAACCTCTTTGGAATCGAGCTTCTGACCTACTTGAAACCGACCGATATGGAATCGAGATTCCTTAAATATATGAAATCAAGATTCTAACATCTTTGGAATCGAGTTCTTGAGTAATTGCAATTGTGATTCATACCAATTTGCAATAGAGATTCATACCAATTTGGAATCGAATTTCGACCCACTTGACCATTGAGAGTCACAACTCCATGGGATCGAGTTTCAACCCCCTTAGAATAAGATTCCTACACCAATGACATCACAGGCCTTAACAACTTAGAAATTTAGTTAATATTTTCCAAAAAAAAAAAAAAACTTAGAAATCCATTAAGCAATTGAGATAAGAGGTCTCTAAAACTTGAAGAAGAGTTCCTCATATTTGAAGTCAATTTATTGGCTATTGAACATTAGACACGGTATTAAAAGTATGATTGATTAATAGACACTCGGAGTCCACAAGGGAAATGTCTACAAAAGAAACAAATATTATCTTATGTATATTTTTAAAAATGTGATTTTGAATTCATTAGTCTACTATTGCTGAATTTTCAGCCCTTGAAAGCGGGATTCAGCAAGCTATCGAGATGCACTGCTTTCCTTGCTCATTGAAGGCAACTTGCAGATTCTAGTGCATTCCGTTCATGGCAGCCATAAGCCCCCTTGCAATCGCCGCATTAGAGGCAGCAAACTGCTTTTACCACCTTGTTGGTTGTTCCTGGAGTATTTTCGCATGTCTACCGAGAGGCCAACTCGGTGGCCGACTAACTGGCCAAATGTGTGGTAGATCTCTCTGAGGCCATGGTTTGGTGCGCCCGCCCACCTGTCTTTCTTTGTTCTCCTATTTCTTAGATATGGCTAAGACTATATATGAAAGAATTGTAACATAAAATTTATGTTCTTTGTTATTTTCTTTCTCTATTAATGAAAGACAAGTAGAGGCCCAAATCCCCACTGATTTACCCAAAAAAAAATATTATGGTAGTTCAAAATAAGATTTTGTCTATGCCCTGGTGTTGTCTGTGTTGTGTCCTATTTGAATGTAAGCCTCTTTACCAATTATTTTTTAAATAAAGGCAGCAAATCCTAGCACTTTTAGAAACGTGATCCAAGCCAGTCCTAGCACTACTAGAAACGTGATACTAATTGAACTTAAATCTCTATTCTTCGGGGCAAAAATGAACTATGGGAGACAATCGCCTCCAATCCGGTTTCCAAATAACTCAAATCGAAATCCATAAAAATTTGAACCAATCCATTAGTCAGAGAGTTGTGCACGTAAAATATTAGTATTTGATTTTGTGATATTAAAGTTCAAAAAAAAAATTCAGATCAAGATTCTATGAGGGTGGAAGCGAGATTCAATGTTTGATTGATTGGTGGTTTCTTGCATCCAAGAACCACAGTACTTAATGTCTAGGAATCTGGATTCGAAAATAATCGAATCGAGTATCATTATATGTGGAATCCACATTCAACAAGTGTAATCAAGATTCACAATTCTAGAATCGAAAAACATAATGTTAGAAATGAGATTCTTTTAAGTGTGTTTTTTTTTTTGAAGTAGTTAACCTTGTATTGAAAGAGTAAAAAGTACAAAAATTGGTAACCCAAGGTTTCTTGTTATTAAAAAACAAAAGATTCTATAAGTGTTAGAACCGAGATTCCTAAAGTAAGGAATCGAGATTCCTGACTTCACGAAAACAGATTCCGTAAAGATTCTTTGACAGAATCGTGGAATCGGGATTCTGAATTGGAATCACGACCTTGGGTGAGAGATCCCAGAAACTATGAGCTACAATCATTCTATGACATAACACTTAGTGCATGTAATTGAATAAGAACTTTATGTTGCTTTGTTTTGAATTGGAAAAATCTACAGATTTTCAGTATCATCTCAATAACCAAAGTTGCAGCACAAAAAATGGTCAATACAGACTAAAAATCTTCAACTTAAACACCTTGGATTATCTTGCAGTCATTCACTTAGAATGTGATACCATCAATTAATTGCCCATAAAGAATATCACTCTCCAGAGGCCACATTCATTTGTCACTGCAATTTCCTTTCTTTTTTTTTGTTATTTAGTGAGCTAGGTTACCTCGACTCTAGCTTCTAACCCACAACCCAAAGTCTGCATGCTTCAGAGTGATTTCATATTTCTAGCTGTAAATTGAGAATTGAGAAAGAGAAAGAATTTGATTTTGGAACCTATGGTGATACAGGTACCAAAACTCCTTTTGGAATATGAATTCCCCAATTAGCTCAGAATTTCCCCTGCCAACTCAAAGATCAATTAGAAAATTGTTTTCAGACCCACCTATCTTCTGAGGAAACTTCATGTAATTCTAGAAAAATTATAATGGGTGAAAGATGATGGATCTCTTCCACTTCAGAAATCAAGCTTGAAGAAAATCTAAGAGAGAAATTATTCCAGATTCTTATTTATCTTTTATTGTTTATGATGCCAAAATAACAGAAACAAATATTTATGTTAATGTGAAGCATATTAATAAATTAACAATTAACTATACACAACCCTTTTGTGGAGGTAAACCAATCCACAAGTACACTAAGCTAAGTTTCTATCTACCAGTGATTCATTTCTCGGACTAGAGCATGG